TCATGCTGCCCGTAGATGGGTACACCAAGAACTCTATTTTAGATTATGTGGTGAGCATTAATTTGGGGAAGGAGTCGTCTCTTAACTAATCTGACAGAATCAATCTGTTCCTAATTTAAATTGCCAGATTTTATCAAGACATTCAAAAAGTAGTTAAATGAGGAAAGAAATGATGTTGTTTTATAGTCATTAGCCATAACTCTTTAGCAGCACGATCATTTCCTGTGCTGAGTGACCCTGGTTTCCAAAAATAACTGTAGTGCTATTTCAACTGCTTATATTTGGCATATTCTTCATTCTTATTTGGGAAGGCACATTCCCTTCTCCAGCTGAAGAAACTCAGTGTCTGAGAAGAGCTGCATAAAAAGATTGTTCCCTCTGGGCTCATAAAAATGTTCAGCATCTGAGAGCTGGCAGGGAATGCTCACACCCAGTGGAGGCAATGCTTATGAATACAGCAAGAGAAAAGGAGGAAGCTATATATGGAAAACAGGAAGTAGAACTAGTTGAGGCAGGCCTACTAATACTTCACCCATATGTAAAGTCATAATTTAGCAACCATTAACTATCTAGAAAAAGAAATGACTAACTGGCTAGCCTGTTATGAGGGACACATTGCACATCAAACCAGACTTTTCTGACATTTCCACCTGATAAACAAACAAGCGAACAAAGCACTAACCAAAACCTCAGGATAGGTCAAACACACTGACACAGACCAAGCATCCACAATTGGTGGCTGCCTTATAGCAAATGCAACTTTTCATGATTCCTCTGGCAATTATAACAGAGTATTGAGGAGTATGCACTAAATTAAAATAACCCAAATACATGAGGGACAAAAACAGTTGCAAAATAAATCTCCAGATTTTCCACATTGTACAATTATTTGCATGTTATTTATATATTTGGAGGCAGAAAAAAGGAGGAACTAGAAGGACTGTCTCATCTTTTCTTGTTTTTTAAAATGCCAATAATTCCCAGGCTACTTTTTTTTTTTAATCAAGGCACACAGATTCACATTTTAATAGAGGAAGTTTAATTTCTTAGAAAAGGGATGGGATTATGACTCAGAATTATGTTCACATTCATATTAAAGGACATTATCAGAGACCTCTACTCCTATACAACGCCTCTCATTTTAATGTTTAAGAAACAGTAGTAATGTTTCAATTGTTTTAAATAACTTTTGAAATGTTTTTAATGTTTAGAAAAAACATCTGGGGGATGTGGCACGTGAGAAAAATTTTTGCAGGACAGTCTAGAAAAATGTCTTAGAAAAGTAGCTGAAGACGTACTTAACCTATTAATTTGCTCCAAATGTCATCACATAGACTTAAAATGGTACTTAAGATGCAAATCTTGTTGATCAGCCAAGCTCCTTTCAAGGATTTTCCTTAATTAACTCTTCTGCTAGGGCATTTTCATAATATAGGAACTGCCGAATTTAGCTTACTGATTCCCACAGAATTTTTTTTTTCCCTTATCAATGGTGGAAACGATCACTTATAAAACTGGAAACTGACGTGTAGTATATCACTTTGCATGTCCTTGTATTTCTAAAATTACTCTTCTCATTCCTCACTGTCTAGACACTCTTATTTGCAGGGTGACCATATAATCTATCATTCATATCAGGATGTACTTTTGAGAATGAAAAAGGGTGCTATTAATACTTATGCTTGGACAACAGACAAATGGGCTATCTTAGGTATACTGGACACAAAGTCACCCTGCTTATTTAAAAAATGACCTAGCATGTGCCAGTCAGTGTCCAACACCAGAAAAAAAGTTGCTCTTGGGTATACTTCTATTTTCACAATGCAGGTATCCATCCTTTGTTCTCACCCCATGGGGTCTGTCTTCTGATTATTGCACTTGGGAAATGATTTATAAATGGACAAGTACTAAATTATTTACCCATAGAAGTTCATATTGTTTACGGTTGTTCCCACATTCTTGGATTGAACAGAGTTCAGGTTATCATGAGATGACTCTAATTTATTGGAGAGGTTACTCTTTGAGAAGCTAAGTCCCAGGAATGTTCATACTCTAAGAGAAAGCCAATATGGATTCACTCTCTCTCTCAATGTTGTACCCCATAATCTTGTGACAAAATACAACCTACTAGATCTAATGGTCAGTGGTCCCACTGTTTGAAAAGTATAACCAGTTCCTTGAGAGGCTTTTAGCCTTTTTTACACCTGACTAAATATTAGTTATTCCTTTCGTTTATATAGGTCTATCCATTAGTTATAAATTGAGAAAGCGATTGAACGCCAACTGACATAAACTAGGGCTTCCAATTCTTAAAGTTTTGCTGGTGAGCAACTTTAAAACTTTACTTTGGAAAACAATAGGTGATTTAGTCAGGAGTGTGATTCACTGCTTTTTCTCAAAACTCACGACTTCTATATATAAATTGCAACTCATACTTCAGTTTAGCCAGTGTTCTGACCTACTCCTTCTCGAGAAAAAGGACCCATTTATTCATTTATCAAATATTAGCTGAGCATTTACTATGTGTCCTGGAAAGTGTTTGACATTGGAATTTTATGGTTGAACTGTCCCTTAATTAAAGTAGTTTAGGGCTGAAATGTAAACCTCATAACATTTATGTGGCAAAGATTGCCTCCTCAAATCATATACAAGGAATTTTGGGAAATGCAAAGCAAATCAAGCATGCATCTTTAAAAGTACAGTCTCATACGCTAAGACCAAGCTAATTCTGATTAATTTTGAACAGTGGTATCGTTGTTACAGGGCTCCCCAGAACCCCCAACTGCCTGCTCTGCCATCTGCAGAACATATAGACCTTTAATGGAAAGGAACTTTAATACAATTAGTGTGCAATACAGAAAAGACAAAGAATATAGTTTCCAAATCAAGCACCCAAAGTTGCCCACTTCCTCGTGGGTAAATGTCCACCCAAACAGGACTGGCCGAAAGCAAGACCCGAAAGCTGCCACAAATGTAAAACACCTTGTGGCAGGGACCCACAGAAAAGGGTCAGAAACAGACAAGCCTGGGAGAAAAAGAGCAAGACCAAAATCGATATAAAAGCAGCAATTGTTAACCTTCCCATGGGTCTCTCATCCACATCTGTTCCAACCAGACCCAGACCAAGAAGCAAGCGCAGTTTCTTCACATGTCTCTCTCTGTTCCACATGCTCCCTCCAGGTCTCCTTCTTGCTCTCCATCCTGTTTCCTTTCTTCTCCAGTCTCCTCTCCAGCTTCTTCTGCTCCCTACTCAGCTCCATCCTCCCTTGGATGGGACAGGGAACTGGAACCTCCCCTTTTCCTGGGGACCACCCTGCTACATTATCAGAAAAGCTAATCAGAATACCTTACCTTTAACATTGGTTACCTTTACATTCAAGAATGTTGAGATCTAGTGAAGCTTTCATTGTATTATTAATACAGAAACATCTTTCAGCCTTTTCTTCTTGGTTATCCATTAAATGGGGAAAATCATGCTCATTTCCTTAGAGGTCTTCACAAATTAAGTAATCAACAGATTGATTTTGCTGGTGAGCAACGTGCAAATTTTCCATTGTTGGATTACTTCAGTTTGTTATTTTATTTAAGATTCGCAGCAAATGGGTATACCACTTACTAATCTTCAAATGAAACACTGTTTCTCAATTTCACAAATCTTATAGTTTGTGCTGATTCCAACAGGATACCACAGCTCACCAGGTGGCAACAGATGGCCGTTTGCCAGCAGCATTATCAAAATTACTAGGTTTCAGAATGTTGGTTTACAGGTTTCGATTCTTTTACTACATCATGCCCCGTCCTTCTCATAGTATTTCGCGTCTCTCTGAAATATTCCTTCTCCAGCCCCCATATCCACCTACCAAAAAAAGTAAGGAAAAACAAAAACTGCATTTTTTTTGAAGATTTATTTTATTTATGCATACAAGAACTGGGGTATAGGCCAGAGATGTGTGTGTGGGGGGGGAGGAGCGAGAGGATTCACCAGAGACAGAGTGGGGTGCAGAAGAAGCCGATCTACCTAAATAAACCACAAGGGGAGCAGCAGGAAAGGTCTGCTGCGCCACGTGGGCTAGCTCCCTGGTTGGGGAATCGAACTCATGCCCCACTGGCTGGCTATAACTTGATAGCACTGAGACTTAAGCCCTGGGTCACCAGAGAAGCCCCAATACTGCATTCTTAAGGACCAAAATTTTCCCTCATCCCTGTTCCCCCTACATGAACCTCCAGGTTAATCTAACATACACAGCTCCCCAACTCACCAGTTTCTCTCTGAAAATGTCCTTATTTACATCTTTCTAAGCACCAATCTCCTTCCCAAGTTTTCATCTTTCTCATAAATACAACTCAAGCAAACTATCATTTCAGAAAAACAATACTGGCTCTAGCTAATTCCCTTCCAAAAGGAAAACACTTTGGGCTTCAGGAAACCCTGTAGAGTGGGCGAAGTCCTGATTTGCCTGGGACAGAAGGGGTTCCCGGAATGCAGGATTCCAAACTGAATGGCTGCGGCTTTGGGGTGCAGAACTTAAAGACATGCCGAAAGAAGAGCCCAGCCCCAGGTTTCCTAAAGCCGGTCCCGCCTTCTTCCAAGGGAGAAATCAAAGCTCGCCAGCCCCAGCGGAGCAAGAGCGCTCATCCCAACACCCCTCCCTGGGCAGCCCAGCAACCCGGGCGCGGGGCAGGCCTCGGCGAGCCTCGCCCCGCCCTCCGCGGCGGCCCAAGGTCCGCTCCCTCCCAGGCCTTTGTCCCAGCCCGAGGACTTCCAGCTCCTCCCGCTCCTCCCCGCCGCGCGCGGGCTGACGCGGCCCGGGAGGAATGCTTTTCCGGAGGGAAAGGGCGGCGGCGGCTGCCTGAGGAGCAGAATCCACTGCGCGGAGGAGGCGTAGCCGGGGGGTCGTTTCCTGCCGGGCGGCCGCCGCGAGCGCCGAGTCTCCTCCTCCCGCCCCCGAGGAGGAGGAGCAGCCGCCGCTGCGCGCCGCGCCCCACACCCAGGAGGCCTCGCCAGCCCGAGGGAGAGGCCGCGCGGGAGCCGCGGAGCAGCAGGCCCGAGAGAGCGCGCCGGGGCCGACGCCGCCCGGGAAGGTGAGGGCCCGCGGCGGGGCGGGGCGCGGCCGGGCGGCTGGGGCTCAGCGCGCGCCCCGCCGGATGTGGGGCCGCCGCGGCGACTGCGGCCGGGACCCGGTGCGGGCGTGGGGCGGGGGTGGGCCCCGGGCCGTGCGGCGGGGAGGAAGTGCGGGCCCCCCGGCCTCCCCGCGCCCCCCTCGGCCGGCCCTTCCCCTCCCCCGCGCGGGGCTGGCCGCCCCTGTCAGGTCGCGGGCTGAGGGCGGCTGAGAACCAGCGCCCCCCCAACCCCCCTCCCGTCTCCTCAGCCTCCCCCCCAGCCCCTCCGACGGCCACGCCGACACCCGGCGTTATTCCTGGCGCCCCTCGCCTGGCTGGGTAGGGCAGGAGCCGGCCCCGCGCCTCGCCGGGAGTCCCGTCCCGCGGCCTCCGGGCAGGTGAGAAAGTGGTGGGAGCCGCCTCCGGACTCGGCCTCTAAGGAATTTGGACGGTCCTGGACGGCTTCTGATTCTTTATGTCCACTGCCATGGCCACCTGCTTTTTCTTTGGGCAGCCTTGAGCCTGGTAGCTTTCTGGATGAGGAGAATTGTATCCCCCCAACTTCCATAAGTTGGGTTGTAGCTCCTGGCGTGGGGGGAGTTGAGTGTGGGCCCAACAGATGTTGGCGTGGTGCAGCCATAGGAAAAGGAGGCTCAGGGCTGACGCCACCCCCATATGCCCAGTGCTGTCCCGTCTCCGCCCCCCAACCCCCCCCCCCCCCCCCCCGCATATGCCCAGAGCCAAACTTGGAATTCTGAGGGTAGCTGGACTAAGTCGCGAGAGCCCGCAGCGGCTGGAGGAAGCCGCATCTGGGCAGGGTGCCCGGAGGTCGCAGGACCCAGGCTCGGGGATCCCGCCCTGAATTCTGTAGAATTTAATGTCAGGCTTGTTTTGGCTTCATTGTGTTTTTAAGAGCACCAGAATGAGTGCCTAAATAACTTTATTTCATCAAGTTTGTGATTTTGAGTCAAAATCCAGTTTTAGTTGCTAGGATGATCTCTACTAAGTTACTCTTAGCTTCTATTTCCTTATCTGTAAAATGGGAAGAATATTTATGCTAGTAATAAAATGATTTTTATAGTAACAATCTTGAGGGCCTTGCTTAGCTCTAAGCTCTTTCTGTGTATTTTGTCCTTTAGTTCTGGCCGATCTAGTTAGGTAGGTACTATTTTAATCTCCGTTTTACTAATGAAGAAACTGAGGCACACGTTTCAAAATTGGAGCTCATGCAGTAGTATAGAGCACCCATGATGTTTATTTAAGTTCTGGAGCCCATATTTGAACTTGTGTAACTACAGTATATTGAAAATTAAATGTGAAATGTAGAGCACTTATTTTAAAGTAGATGCTCAATAAACTGACTCCTTTTCATCCCTTCTTGTTATATTAAAAAAAAATCTCTATTATACCATTAGTAAGGTTGGTTTGGGTCTCTGCATTCCACATAAATATTTAGGTTACTGGTTTATTTTTACTACTGTTTTGATGGTACAGAAATAAGTGCTAAGTAGATTTTGACGGAGCACCTTTCCTAAACTAGATATAGCCTTTATAATAGGTAGTAAATAGACCACCTTTAGAAGTGATTAAGGAATTTTAGTTGGAAGTTACCTGTGGCACTTGTGCATATCAGTGCCAGAGGGAACAAGAGTTACTTGACTCCCACTCTAATATTCATATTCTTAAAGTAATTTTAGTTTATTGAGTGTTAAATGAATGAGTGAAGATGAAGTGATAAACAGAAATCAGGAAACAAATTAGTGTTTTGGTTATAGGTATTTGAGAAGACATCCTGCTTACTCTAGCATTCCAATATAAAATGGAAGGTGTACTTAGGATACTAGTTAAAAAGATGGAATGTGTTTAATGCTATACTTCTGTAAATAGAAAACAAATAAAAGGGGAATTAAGGAATCTGTTAATTTCACAGATCTAAAATTTTGTTTTTGTAATTTTGATTTTTTAAGAATGTTTAATTACAAATTAAGATTATTTTTCAATCCCTCAACATTCTGTGTGGAAAGTATGACACCAGTAACACTGAAAATCTTCTTTACTTTGGGGTCAATATAATTTAAATCTGCTCCAAGTTACTATCACAGGTTGTATATGGAATTCTACAGGATTGTATTGTACAACATGTAAATATATCTTGTAGCAGGTCTGTTCTTACTTTGGTTATGTTTTGTGAGGATTTTTGTTGCCCTTTTGTATTGTTGCTGGGAATCATGGGGTAGGGAGGAGGAGTAAGAATAGTATAGTATTAACAGGATAGTTTTGACAGGGTGGGGTATATATTTCAGTATGTAAGTTAAAAGAGGTGCAGTTCATAAAACTCATATTAGCAGCCTCAGAATATTTTCACCAGATTGGCGAAAAGATGTGTACTCTCTTTTTCAGGAGCTGTGTGCAAAAAGAACCAAACTGTATTTTGTAAATTTCTCATCTTTTTAAAGATGGCTAATTATTAGACCTTTACAGGGTTAAATTTAATCTGTAATATGGGTTTTTAGAAGCCAACTGCCTTTTAACTATTTTTGGTTTGTGACTTTAGAAGATAAAGTTAACTATATTTAGTGAAATCTTAAAAAGTTTGTGTATATCATATGAAATATGTGTGTGTGAGTGAAAAATGGCTTTGAATAGATGCATATGTAAACACATATTAACACTTGCATATCTTCCTACCCATCTATCATCTGTCTACATTAGGACTAATCTCATTAATACAAGCCTCCAAGTACAGTTTCTGGATCCAAAAGGGTATGTGAAATAATAACTCACTAGAGTGTAGGAAGAACATATAGATTTAATATTAAATTGATATTTTAATTTTGTAATTTAAATTTTAAGTTTTTATGTTTTGCTCTGTTGCTATAGGAGTGTATATATGTTAATTTACAAATATATATGCATAAAATTTGGATAAATGTTTTTTTTTTAAGTAGAAGAACCTCGGTCTAGGAGATGATTTGGGTGGGAGGCACAAGAACTACTGTCTTTAGCAGGAAATATTGATAAAACGTTATCTGAGGTGAGAGAGATAAAAGAAACCCAAAGTAACACAGGTTTCTGGTTAGATGGTGCCATTTGCCAAGGTAGGAAATATAACCATGAGGGTGTGGTGCATCTTAATCGGAGGGAGGGAAAATGATGAATTTATAATGCTGAGTTTTTTTAAGGTCACTATGGGACAGGTAGAGTTGACAAGAGTGCAGTTGAATACACAGATGGGGGCTCAAAAAAAAAAATGTCTGGTTGGAGTTTTAAGTTTGGAAATTTTTAGTCTGTAAGAGCTAGTTGAAGCCATTTACTGCAGATGAAAATACCAAGGGATAGATGGTGTGAAAAAGAGGCCCAGGAGAGAACCTGGGAACATTTAACAAAGAGTGAGTAGAGGAAAAATAGCAGAAAAGCCTTTCGCTTCCCCAGGTTCTTCTCTGAATTTCAAATTCCTTTGTGTGACAGTTTGGTGAGTGACTTGGGTATTTGTGGGTTTTTACGTAATTTTCATATTGGGGTAAAGACAAAAAGACATTGTAGTCTTCTTAGACAATTATTAGAGAAGCAATAAAGTCTTGATTGGACAGTGAGAAACCTGATTTTCAGTGCTGGCCCTGCCATCTAATCTCTTTGTGGCTTACGTTGGCCATCACTTTCCAAGCTTCAGGATCTGCATTTCACCATAGTCTGTATGTTTCCCTCATTTTGTTAGCTCATAGAGTCGAAGGCTACTCTTGCTTGAACTGAGAGACTGCAGTTCTTTTCTGTGGTAGCCATTCTGTTGTATCACCACAGGAGGATAGATGCTGTCCCAAATTACTCCTTTAAGAAAATTTGTCAATGCTGGGCAGCCAAATCTATTGCTGTTACGTTATTGTTAGGATGTAGCTCTGTTATACATGGCATTTTAGTCTGTGGCATGTTGAGTACCAGTTACCTGAAAAGTGGTGTGTTGAGTGGATATAGATGATGAAGTTGACATGTCCTTGCTATTGAATGTATTGTTTAGTTGAGACAAATTGTGCTCAGTTGAGGGAAACAAATATCAAAGAATACATAATAGTAGCAGATGATATTCTATAATGAATTTTGAGAAAAAGAGCAGCATTGTTTTTGTATCTTTGGAAATCTATGTAGAGGAGTTGGGATATAGGCTTGGAATGGTATGAGCAAAGTTATGGGTGGACAGATGGGAGACATATTCAGTGGACAGTATAGTTAGAAGGCAAAATCTGTTCTAATTTAGCAAATGTTGTTGGTTGCTTTGTTAACCCTCATCACTGCAAGTGAAGGACCTATGAAATGAAGGCCTGGATTCTTGAAGGCTTTCCAGCTCTACTCTGGTGAGGTTCACAGATATGAATACACATATATGTATAGAATTATTTACAAAAGAGTTTTAATTAAGACAACACTGTTATTAACCACCAAAGTTTGTGGTTTACACTGCTAGACACTTTGAAGAACATGTTCAGAGCCACAAAGAAAGTATTTTTGCTTACTGTGGCTTGGTAAAGAGATGAAGAGCCAATGAAGGCCAAAAAGGAAAAGTCAGAAAGGTAGAAGAATAGTTAAGATTTTATTTTGTTGTAGCCAACATAATTTTAGTGAAGTGATGAGAAAAGTATTTATGTGAACAATGTATTGGGAATATATCATTTGAAGATGGAAGGCACATTTCATTGTATAAGTGTTGATTGAATGAATATGTAAATACTATACTTTCATTTTCTTAGTGAAATTAGAAATAGTAGCTTACTAGCTTCCTAATATTTTATGGCTACATGATTTATTTCATACTGAGATTTCAGTGCTTTTCAAAAGTGATCGTGTTATATTTGATTACTGGAGAGACAGCATTTTTGTAATAGCACATTCAGCATTATGCTATAATTAGAAAAACATAACACAATAGGGAGTGGATTATATTTAATAAAGAAGCATAGGTTTAAAAATATTTAGAACCATTTATTAGTCAT